TTGAGATGGATTTCACTCTTGTCACCCAGGCTGGAGTGCAGTGGTGTGGTCTTGGCTCACTGCAACTTCCACCTCCCGGGTTCAAGTGATTCTCCTGCCTCAGCCTCCCAAGTAGCTGGGATTACAGGCACCCACCACCACACCTGGCTAATTTTTGTAATTTTTGTTAGTAGAGATGGGGTTTCACCATGTTGGCCAGGATGGTTTTGAACTCCTGAGCTCAAGTAATCTGCCTGCCTAGCCTCCCAAAGTGCTGGGATTACTGGCATGGGCCACGGCACCCGGCCAGTTCTGCATTTTTAAGATCAAGCCATGTTGCTGATGTGCACCCACAGTACATATGAATCTACCACGTTCTGCACTTGACAAACACCTAGGTGGACTCCAACTCCCCATTACCATGAACAACACTTGAATGAATCTTTTTATTCATGTTCCTTATGGACCCTGGTGAGAAATTTTCCAGGATATATACGCAGAAGATAATCTCCAGGTCATAGGGCATACTTACGTACACTAAACACTCACAGGGAGTTTGGAAGTTAGCTAGAAGAGGGGAGAGGAAAGCCCACTCTAGCAGGGCAAAGAGCATGGGCAAAAGAATGGAAGAGCGCTACAGCAGAGTGGTTTCTGAGAATTGTACACTCATTAGGGCCAGGGAAAGCAGAGCGTAAGTTGTCATGTGGGGGAACTGAAGAGCTGTCAATGTCAGGCCTTGAAAGACTTCCTGTGCTAAGCTAAGGGGTTTGAATTGTAGACTGAACCTTCTACTGAGCCATAGACAAGTGTTAGCAGGTGAGAGGTCATAGTCATTTGCATTTCTATAAAGGAATACCCGAGGCTGGGAAATATGTAAAGAAAATATCTTTATTTGGGCCACAGTTCTGTATAAGAAGCATGGTGCCAGTGTCTCCTTCTGGCAAGGGCTTCAGGGAGTTTCTACTCATGGCGGAAGTGGATGGGAGGCAGGCATCACAGTGTGAGAGAGGAGAAGGAGGTGCCAGACATTTTTTAGCAATCAGATAGTGCAGGAAGTAACAGAGAGCTTATTCATTACCTTAAGGAAGGCACCAAATTCTCTATAAGGGATCCATCCCCCATCTCCCAAACATGTTCCACCTAGGTCCCATCCCCAATTTGGGAGATCAAATTTCAATATGAGATTTGGAGGGAACAAACATCCAAACCATATCAGAGGTGTCATTAGATTTGCATGTTAGAAAGGGTGCTCTTCCTGCCCTGCACCCTGGCAAAAGCATCACCTCCAACACCGAGCTCAAACACCAAAGTGGCTCAAACACCAAGGCAGTGAGTCCTCTCTTAAAGGGATCTGGTGGCTGGTCTCCATGTCTACCACACACAGTGTGCAGGACAAGAGCTGGGCAGTGTGGGCATCAAGGGAGATGGCTAAATCCCAGTTCCTGCCAGCCCAGACTGGGCTCTAAGAGAGGAGCACTGACACAGAGGGGATAGACAGAGGAAGGGTGTTTGCAAAAGGGGACAGAAGGAGTGGGCCAGGAGAGGCTAACCCTCCTAGACCAAGTACCGAAGATGATGGCAGACTCGCTGCTCTCAGAAGTAGGAGGTGGGGGGCCAGGTGTGATGGTTCACACCTGTAATCCCAGCACTTTGGGAGGCAAGGCAGGCAGATCACTTGAGGCCAGGAGTTTCAGACCAGCCTGGCCAACATGGCAAAACCCCATCTCTACTAAAAATACAAAAATTAGCCAGGCGTGGTGGCAGGCACTTGTCATTCCAGTTGCTTAGGACGCTGACGTGGGAGAATTGTTTGAACCTAGGAGGCACAGGCTGCAGTGAGCTGAGATTGTATCACTGCACTCCAGCCTGGGCGACACAGTGAGACTGTGTCTCAAAAAAACAAAAAACAAAAAAAGTGAGGGCTCACTAGGGGGATACACAGGCAGAACTCTGATACAGAAGATAGGATAGGGAAGGGGTAGGGGTATGGTAACATTGCCACCTAAATCCTATGTGCACAAACTAGGAAAAAAAAATGTCGGTACTGTATATATAATTGAAACATGATGACACCATTATTTCTGACATTCAGTTGTCCTTCCTCAGAATCTTTGGCTGCTGATTTTATTTCTGGCAACAATACAAAACCAAACGACCAAGAGAATTAAAAAAGAAAAAAAAAAACAAAACTGTATGAGCAGGACAATTCCAGGGCCCTTGGGATCTGCATCTTTTTCAAGGTAATGTAAGCAGGGATGTCTGTCCTTTTGGAGTCGTGTCTTCCCTTGGCTCCTGGGGCACTGTACCCTCTTGATCTCGTCTCTCTCTGTTCCTTCACTGGCTCCTCATCTTCTGTCCCAGGGCCAAAGATTTCCAAATCTCCCACCCTGAGATCCCTCAGTCCACCTTCATCCTGGCTTGCCCAGCTGTCTTCAGATTTATTCACTCAGATGTCTCCCTCTGATGTCACCTCAAGCTCAATATGTCAAGGAGAAACTCATGCTTTCTTCACATCCCTTCCCTAAAACAGCATTTCTTCCTGACTCGTCTACTGCTCTCCAGCACCACCACTTTCCTTGTTCCAACCTTGGAGTTACATAACTAACAGATGCCTCTGTATTGCTCCCAAGTCAGCAGCCAGCAAATCCCAGGGATTCTTTTTCTACAGTAAGATTTGGCTCTTTCTTTTTCCACTGCCACCAGCAAGACTAACCACCTAACATTCTCTTCTGTATCGAAGCCTTCCAATTTGGCTGCCTACTTCCATGGTTTCTCTACCACACCATTCCCCCCGCAGACCTGCGCTTCTGATAATTTAATGCTACTGTTACGCTTTTAAAAAAAATCGCAGAACAGTTTCTTAAAAGACATTCCAAGGTTGAATGTAAAGTTGTTCATTAACTAGTTTTATTTACCTGTTTTTGTTTTCATACTGTTGAATAAAATTATTTATATAGTTATGACTTAATATACTCTGGCCCCCAACTGTGTGCCAGGCAAGGATACATAAATATGAACAGAATATGGCTTTTGCCAATTTCTGAAAAGCATATAGGCCCATGGTAAAACACAAGCACTCATGACAGTTTATTTAGGATGCAGTGGGGAAAGTGCTGCAGCAGACAGGAATCAAGATAACGCCAAAGTCTTGGGGAGAAAACTAGGAGCAGGAAAGATTTTACAGATGATAAAATGTGCAACAGTGCATTGAAACATGAGTGAGTGTTGGCCAAACACTTGGTAGTCTGGTCTTTACTGTTAGCAAGGGACCGTTTCTCCCTCTCTCTCTCTCTCTCTCTCTCT